AAAGGAAGTTTGGCTATGTGGATTTTGCATCTGCTGATGACCTGGAAAAAGCTTTGGAACTCACTGGCTTAAAAGTTTTTGGCAATGAGATTAAAGCGATCCCAAGAAGATGGCACCTCCTCCCAAGGAGGTAGAAGACGACAGTGAGGATGAGGACATGTCGGATGATGAAGAAGATGACGACGATGATGAGGATGATGACTCAGAGGAAGAGGCTATGGAGGTCACACCAGCCAAAGGCAAGAAAGCACCAGCCAAGGCAGTCCCTGTAAAAGCCAAGAGCATGGCTGAGGAGGAAGACGACGACGAGGAGGAAGAGGATGACGAGGAGGATGAGGACGAGGAGGAAGAGGAAGACGACGAAGAAGAGGAAGAAGAGGCAGGTAGGTAATCAGAATGGCTTCTGCAGCACTCTTCCCTTTACCTGGGTCGGTTAGAAGCAAACCTTTGAACATGAGTTTTCACCGGTAACGCCTCTTTTCCTTTGGCCTAGAACCTGTCAAAGAAGTGTCTGGGAAGCGGAAGAAGGAGATGGCCAAGCAGAAGTCTGCCCCTGAAGCCAAGAAACAGAAGGTGGAAGGTAATGTGCAGGGTTTGGAGGGGTGGGGCATTAGAAAGGCACAAATGATGAACCACAAAGGGACTTAATACTGATCATCTTGATGTGACTTAATGATCAGCTGATGTGCTGGGTGTAGAAAAGGTGGGGTGTGCATTTCTGCTTCACTGTGAGATTGATTTCTGGTCTTTGATCTATAGCTGTTGAACCAACTACAGCCTTCAACCTCTTCATTGGAAATCTGAACTGCAATAAGTCTGCTCCTGAATTAAAAACTGGTCTCAATGACCTTTTTTGTGAAAAACGATCTGACTGTGATGGATGTTAGAATTGGTACGACTAGGTAAGTAACCCTTACACACACACACACCCCCAACGTGAAAGGTTGAGGTCTTACTTTGTTCTTGGAAACACTCAGCCTGTAGAGCTGCACCGGCATTGCTATGTGAACAACAACCAGTAGTAACAACCACTAATTCCAGTGCTGTCCAGGGGTTGTCTCAGGACTCCATAGGGCTGTGCACTGGTCCATGGTGTCGAGGCTGGAGCAGCGGGTGGGTTTGATCTGATGGTGGCCATTTGATTAGCTCAGTGCACAGTCCACTGCACCGCCAAGGCTCTGGCCACAGACTAGTGAGTGTGTTTAAAGCCAGACCATATTCCTTCCCTGCTGGCCTCATCAAGCACCTTCTTTATTCCACCTGAAGGCCGCTGACTGTGAGACTGCACTGGGTCTGAGCTGGGCAGCGTGCAGAGCATTGATTGTATTGTGGGCGCTGTCACTGGTCTTTTGGCTGCCCAGTAATGGATTATGTTAGTGTTGCTGGGGTCTGAGTGGGTGGGGTGGTTCTTGGCTTTTCCCTCTTAAATTTTGATCCTTTTTTCATCTTTAAAGGAAGTTTGGCTATGTGGATTTTGCATCTGCTGATGACCTGGAAAAAGCTTTGGAACTCACTGGCTTAAAAGTTTTTGGCAATGAGATTAAACTAGAGAGACCGAAGGGAAAGGACCATAAGAAAG